TTTTCTTCCTCGATTGAAGGGTATTTAACACCTCCATCAAACCACATATCTGAGGGCTCACAGCAGCTCTCTCATTCCTGTTCCTTTCCATACTAACTGGGCTGCAAAGGTTCATCCAACAGGATCCAAGCGCCCAGGGCTCCAACCCAATTCCAGCAGCAACTTCCACCAGCAGCAATCAAGAAAGGCAGAGCAGAACCTGAAATGCCATCCCAGAAGCACCTCTCACAGTGGCACCATGCCAAGGGAAGAGCCTGCAGTAATTCCAGAGGCCAGCATAGTTAAACATTTATTTAACCCCACTTCTGCATCCAGAGCATAACTGCATCCCTAACTTCCATCATATACTGAATTTAGATCCATGGCAATTTTGGCAAGTTAAAGGAAGAAATTTATTACTGTGAGGGTGGTAAAACACTGGCACAGGTTGTCCAGAGAGGTGCTGGATGCCCCATCCCTGGAAATATTCAAGGTCAGGCTGGATTGGGCACATCTGGAAGTGCTCTTTGGGCACTTCCAAAGAGCAAGTCTGGATCATCTCAGGGCTCAAGTTCCAGCCCTGTCCTAGACACAGCTCCCCAATTCCCAGGTAAGGAGGTCTCCTTTTTTCCTTCCATCACATTCACCTTGTGACAGTCCAAACCTTCAGAGATGGATCCTGAAGGGTCCCAGCGACAGGTAGAACTGTGGGTCTGGCAGAGGGGGAAGGCAGGAGCATCCCTCTCCTCCTCTCCATCCCCAGGAGAGGAGCTATGATGTTGGCTCACACTCCTCTCTAGCAGCAGCAGTTGAGATGTTGGCTCAGCTGCCCATGGAACTGCAGTTTTGAGCCTCCCACCTTCCAAGACGACGCCCTAACCACGGAGCAATGAGCTGGACAGGGCCCTGGCCAGCAAAACATGCAGGTTATGGGGCCAAAAAAAATAAGCAAGAAGGAACTAAACATTTCAGCTCAACTACCAGTACCCTGCCTGGCCAGGGAAGCTCTGCTCCAAGCACTCATCTAGAAGTTCTCTGTTTTCCAGCAGTCCTTCTGGGATGTATACCTGTAACTACAGGGGTTCAACTGAACTCCCTGATGGGGTTAACATCAATGAAAGCACTTTTTTGATCCAGTAAAATTAATTCCTTTGGTAAGGTTGCTGCTCTGCCTATTTCTATATCCTCCCTATTTTGTATTTCCATCTTTTGTCCCTAAATTCTCCAGCAGAGCTACTGTGCTTTGAAAATTAGAGTTTCTCCTGGTCCACTACAGCACCACTGTAATTCAACCACCAGCCCTGCACAGCAGTGGGTTGCAAAGATCCTGCAAGAGCATTTTTAGGATGCCAGGCAGAAGTTTCTGTGCCCTGAAGGGAGAAAGCCTTCCTGATCCCAAGGCAAGGATTAAAGAAGAAAAAAAACCAGACAAAGATAACTGCAGGATGATCAAGGTATGCACAGGGCAGATGGACACTGCTAACAGCTTTCACGGTGTTTTATTATTTGGCCTTTTTTTCCCTTAATTTCTACATTAGCTAATATTACAAGCACGGAAAAAAAAGTTTGATTCTTGGCCCCACTCATACTTTTCCACACAATTCCAGCCAAACCACTGAATTTCTTTGCCTTTCCCGTAAACCAGGCTGCAGACACCATTTCATATTTGTTGGACACAGTTATGGGGCATCATCCAAAATGCCAAACCAGGGCTCAGAATTCCAACAGATCACCCAGTGTTTGGGTTCAACTGCTCGGCAGAGCTGCGACGTGTCTGGTTCAATTTACAGAACCCCCTAATTCGATGACTAACCCATCTTGGGATTAACTGGTGATTTACAAACTGCAATCAGTAACTACCATATGAATATAATGAATTATATGGAGAATATTTACATACTCATACGAGGCCCTGGGCCAGCTGAGCTTTGCATCCTCTGTTATTATTCCCATCTGAAGCTTTCCCTACTATTCCCATCTGCTTTCCCTCACGGGGCAGCAAAGTTTGCACAGCAAAAAATGAGCATGCAACGATCCCTCTCCAATGACTGTGCAGGTTTTGAGGCAGCTGCTTCCAAAAGCACCTTCCAGGCAGGGTCCAGACCCTCGGTCAGCCCCAGGTTTTTCCTCACCTCCTCCCTCCGGCCAGCCTGAAGGCCAGTGCCAGCCCTGGCACTGCCGGGACACATTCCCAGAGTGTCACACACGGCACACGGCCAGGTCCTGTGTTTAACAATCTGCTGGCCAGGAAGCTGCAGTGTCTGTCCCAGGGCTCGCTCAGCCCCGGGACCCAGTTTGGGGGAGGGGGGATGGGGCACAGCCAGCTCGGACGTGAAAAACCCCACGTCCCGCTGCACGGGGTGGGGCTGAGCCCAGTGAGTCCAGGCAGCTCCCGATGGGAGAGGGATCGTGTCCCAGCAGCTCTCCCAAAGAAAAATGGCATATGAGGGCACTGCACGGATCAACTCCTGCCAGCTCTGCCAGGGAGCCCTGGTACTGGGAGGTGTCACACCCACCAGCTCCCGGGGATCCCCAGTATTGGGAGGCATCACACACACCACCTGTTGAGGAGGAGAATTCCACCCACCACCTCCCGGGGATCCCCAGTGTTGGGGGGCATCACACCCACCCCCTCTGAGGGAGCCCCAGTGCCGGGGGGTCACTGCATCCCCAGCCCCCCTCCCCGGGACCCCAGCGACCCTCCTCTTACCGCAGTTCTCCATCCAGAGCCTGGATGACGGCGGCGAAGCTACGGCTGGTCTGGTTGAGGTACCGGTAGCAGGTGCGGAGGCCACATCCCAGCGAGTCCTGCGGACAGAGCGGAGCCCGGGGGGCCGGTTGGAGCGGGGGGACGGCGGGCGGCGGGGCCGGGGGCGCCGCGGGGACCCCGCGCTGCTGCTGCCGCTGTTGCCCCCGCCGTCGGCCCGGAGCCCGGGGGGGGTTCCGCGGCGGGGACAGGGTCAGTGTCCGCCGGAGCAGCGACATGGCCCGGGACCCGGCCGCCATGGGGGTGCGGCGGCAGCGGGGGGCTGCGGCCGCTCCGCCCCCGGCCCCAAACACGCCCCTTAACCCGCCCCGTCCCGCGGCCGGAGCCGCTGCCATGTACGGGCAGCACCGGGGCAGAGCATCGCTGGGAGCCAGTGGGATGCTCGCGGGGTACCGGGACTGTGCGATGGTTGGGGTTGATGCCATGCACGGGCAGCACCGGGGCCGAGCATCGCTCGCTGCCGGTGGGATGCTCGGAGCGTACCGGCACCGAGCGATGCAAGGGATGCCCGGAGCGGGGGGATGCACGAGGGTACCGAGCACCAAGCAGTGCTTGGGAAGCCTGAAACAAGTGGAATGTTTGGAGCCGGTGGGATGCTCGGAGGATACCCGGCACCGAGCAACGCATGAGAAGCCATTAGCCGGTGGGATGCACGCAGAGTACCAGCACCGAGCAATGCACGGGAAGCCAGAAGCCGGTGGGATGCTCGGGAAGCACCGGGACACTGCGATGCCCAGTGTCAGTGCGATCCACGCAGGGTACCGGCAGTGAACAATGCAATGGATGCTCGGAGCCCGTGGGATGCTCAAAGCCGGTGGGATGCTCGCGGAGTACGGGCACCGAGCAATGCACGGGAAGCCTGAGACCGCCGGGATGTCCGGAGCCGGTGCCATGCGCAGAAAGCACCGGAGCCGGCGGCATGTCTGGAGCCGGTGGGATGCACGCGGGGTACCGGCACCGAGTAATGCAAGGGGTACCCGGAGCCGGTGGGATGCTCTCAGGGTACTGACACCGAGCAAGACACGGGACGCCCGAAGCAGGTGGGATGCCCGGGAAGCACCGAGGACACACACATCGCGCACAAAGGGGCAGCTGCCCACTGGTACCACCGGGGCCGGTCCTATGGACTCCAGGCCGTGCGACAGTCACCCATGACAACGCCGCATCCCCGCCGGGAGATGACAGCCCCCCCCCACCCACCTCCGTCCCCCGCTGCTCCCCGCTGCTCACCGGGTCGATCCGCGGCATGACGGTGCGGTAGCCGCCCATCTTGAACCGCAGCAGGTTGTAGATGTCCTCGGGGTGGCCGAGCCATTTCCGAAGCAGCTCCATGGGGGTCGCGCTCAGTCCCCGCCGCCGCCACCGCCGCCGCCGCTCCCGCCGCCCCCCTCCCGCCGCTCAACCGGTCCCGGCCAGCCCCGCCCCCGCCGCGCTTCGCCACCAATCACAGCGCCCCTCGCATCGCTCGGTGGGGCGGGCGCGGCGCCCATTGGCGGAGACGCGCTCGCACCAGCGCAGCGCCAGCCAACGGAAAGGCGCTGCGGCTGGTGTGACGGCCGGCGGCGGGCGCTGATTGGCTGCGGCGCGTGTGGGCACAGGCGGGGCGGGAAGGAGCGGCCCCGGAGCCCGAGTGTGAGGGAGGGTCGGGGGAGGGGGCCGCGTCGTCAGGGAAACGTGGAGCGGTTCGGGTGGAAGGGACTTCAAAGTTCATCCAGTCCCAACCCTGACACCTTCCACTATCCCAGGTTGCTCCCAGCCCCGTCCAGCCTGGCCTTGGACACTTCCAGGGATAGGGCAGCCACATCTTCTCTGGGAATTCCATCCCAGACCCTCACAGCCAAGAATTCCTTCCCAATATCCCATCTAACTGCCCTCGGGGAGTTTCAAGCCATCCCCCTTGTCCCAGGACCCTCTCCCGCTCTCCTGGAGCCCCGTTTAGGCACTGGAAGGGGCTCTCAGGTCTCCCTGGAGCCTTCTCCAGGAGAACACCCCCAGCTCTCCCAGCCTGTCTCCAGAGCAGAGGGGCTCCAGCCTTCGGAGCATCTCTGTGGCCTGAGAACCCAACAGACCCCTGCTGCCTCCTCATCCTTAAAGGTGTGAGGTTCAGCTTTTGGGGTTTTTTTGTGTGTAACTATCTTCCAAAGTCCAAAGCTGGACTTTGATCATCCTTATGGGTCCCTTCCAACTCAAGATGTTCTATGATTCTTTGTTTTGTAAGGGCACTGAAAGGGCGTTTCACTGACACCTTTCAGGATAGGATCAGAAAGAACATCAACCACCTTCTTTGACACTGTAACCCTATTAATCAGTTTATTCAGCAGTCTCGTAACCTGCAACCACTCAATGGTGTTGCAATTCCCAGGGGAGAGGCTGCACAAGCCTTGCCTGGGAAGCAGCAGCCTAAAACAGAGGAGTTTACCTCTAGCATTCCCAGTTGATTTGCAATACATCTTTAGATCCAGTTCCCATTAAAACAAACTTCTGAGCAAAGCTCCTAGTACCATTCTCTACAAGCAGCACCAAACAGCTGACTGTTAATCAATTCCAGGTAGCTGGAATTTCCCTGCACACCTCAGTTTTTAACCAAGAAACTACCAGAAAAGACACACTGAATTTAAGATGAACATCACCAGTTTTCCATTTCTAGCTTTTATTTTTTTGCTCAAGCAAACAATTTGTCAAAAGAAACCCAAATCCACAGAGAGAGAACAGCAGCAGCTCCTGCCTCACATACAGAGACATAGCTCAATAAAGAAGGTTTCATCTCTATTTCCAAACCTTTCTGCTTGCAGGTTTCCTTGGAGATCCCAAGTTTTATGCAATCTCTGTCACACACACAGTATTTTTAGGGTTTTTTTTTTACTGTTACAGTGAGATCTGGATCTGGCAGTTTGCCACAAAGCTGAAACTTGTGAACAAGATGAGCTCCACCAAGCACTGCTGATGCAGGTTTTGTCCCCTTGAAAGGAGGGAGCTGTTCCTGTCAGATCTGACAGAGGGAACAGCCCCTCACATTTAACCACACCCAGCACACAGGTATTCAGGTCCAAACAGAGGCAGGATTATTTAATTCCTAATTAATCAAGCTTTTTAGGCAGAGGGATATACTCTGTTCTACTGACTCCACTGGGGTCAAGGGATAGGGTCACTTCAGACCACAGCAAACACCTGTTCAACACTCTACACTTTCCATCCACTGTGGTCTGAACAGAGTGACCAAAATACCTCAGAACTGGTCAGACTCTTTTACACTGTTCATTGGGAAAAAAAAAAAAGACATGTACAACCACTTTACTTTCTGCATCCACTCAGTGCTGCAGAGAGTCCTGTGACCTCCACTGAGCACTTAACTCTGCCAGCTCATTGTCACTAAGAACCAAACTCAACAGCTCAAAGAAACCAAGAAGACCTCCTCAAGGCAATTAGGAGCATGGTTGAGACATCACCTACCACCCTCCAGGAAAGGAGGAATGCAAAGCCAGGTCACTCTGTGACTGGGGAAGGATCCCCTTCCCCTGGCAGCACCTCAGGCTGGCACTGAGGACACCACCATGTAAGTCTCTTAAAGGCACCCAGTGGTCCAAAAGTTCCCTTCATCACTGGATGGCCAAGGGGACACTGCTCCTTCTGGTAGATCTGGGGGTGCAGCCCTTGGCCATGGAGCTTGTGGTGCAGCCAGTCAGAGCTGAACTGAAGGGCACAGTCCAGCAGATGCTCCAGATCCGAGGGAGCCAAGAGAGAGCCTTGTGTTAGTGGGTGGATCTTGGTCAGGTACAAAATCTCATTCTTAATGATGTTCCCTGGAAAGGGACAGAAACAAGGAGACAATAAGGGTCTTTCTAATCAAGATAATGCAGACTTCTGGCTCCAGTCTGTGACTTCACCCTCAAGGATCACAGCCAACAATATCATTCCCTGTTTCAGAGATGGCATGCAAGGAGTAGACTTAGACCTGGGATTGGACTGGACAGAGTTCTCTTCCCTCTACCCTTGAAGCAGAACTTGAAGATGACCATGTACCCTCAGCTGGATGAACCAGAAGCCACAAGGCAAAGGAGTAAAACTCTCAGACATGCAGCTCTGGATCTGCAGACATCCCACCCACCTTCCTCCATTTCTTGCTCTGCCAAGTATTCCCTGGAACTCACCCAGCCCTGAAAAGTATCTTTGGTCTAAGAGGGTGTAGCAGATGGGATTGGGTGCACGGAGGGCATCTAGTGCCCGGCCACGGTGGAACTCCATGGACAGGATGTCAGAAGCAGGATCAGCCCTTGGAGAGGAGCACCAGTGCATTCTGCAGTTGTAGAAAACAAGGAAGCCTCCACTCTCAAAGTGAAGAATCAGCCTGGGAGAAGCAGAAAAGCAGAAGTGTCTCATCAGAAACATCCTTGAACCATTTGTCCTATTTTACACCAGGCCACTGTCTCAAGGTAAGGTAGCCTCTTTAACGACTTCAGCCACAAAACCTGGTGGTGAACAACTCTCCACAGGTTGTGTGGATTCATTCTCCTGCCCTGTGGTCCCTGGAC